AACGCGGTTCCTCAAATAAAACCGAACGCCTAACAAAGAAAGTTCCTCTCGTCGGAAATAACTTGAAAAGACGAAAAATACGGGCATCTGATAAGAGAAAGAATCTTGTTTGTGTTTACTTGAAGATCTTCGTTGCATCGTTCCGCGCGGAATTAAATATCATCCGGAGAGGGACTCTTCTGTGTCTAATTATGTCTTTGTCGGAGAATATTCTTTGAGGGAGAAAAAATACGCTAATTTCCTCTCTAGTACATGGTAAGGTAGACATGTTGAATTTTTCTCGTAAAAATGGCAAGTTGGCGGTGCAATACCCAAAACACGCACCTGGATTGCGATGTTTCAAAATATCATCTCCTTCACTTTATTTTTTTTTTTATGTAGAAATAACCAACACCATTCCTTGGCAATTTAGCAGAATATTTTTCACGCGAAGGAGGGATGTCACAGGTTTTTAAGGGTTGACGTTTAACAGCTTCCCACTGAAATTATTCAGTATGACAGGAAATCTGCAACGTCGCAGCCGCAAACTATAGCTCGATGTTTAAAGTTCAAATCCGCGTGCGTCCGTTTGCGACGTTGCAGACTTCCTGTCACACTTCATTCTTTTGGAGCTCTTCCTACGAGGATGGGGGGGGGGGGCTCAAGTCCCCCAAGGCTCCCCCTTGAATACGATACCAGTGGGCTGATTACTGAAATTGATAGAATATTCTCTACTAAAAAAAAAGAAGCAAAAATAGTAAAAGAAGACAAAGAGAAAATAATGCGAACCTATTGGTGGAAGCAGGTGATTGGAATGTACGAAAACTAACTAACGGCAACCCGCGACGATGGACCCTATATAGTTAGTCCAATATTTTCCTGCTTAGTCTGACAACCCAAGTATCATTGTTCGCGATGAGTTGCGATTTGATCGTGCAACATATTGCGAATTTATCGATGTCCATTCATAGCAATATTAATGGATGGAAAATTGCGATTTCATCGCATAAATCTGTTATCAAATCGCGATTTTATCAACAGCGATTAACCGCAAAATTATCGAAGGAAAAATCTTGATAAATTCAGATAAAGATGCGATTCAATCAAACGCAATGGACCACTAGACAAGGTACGAATTCCAGCATTCTGATACATGTTTCTTGACTAAAATTTCACGTAAAACACGATGCGCACAACAAAAATTACCGAAATCAACTCCTTACGAAGATATTTAATGATTCTTGATGCGTGAATTTAAACCACCCGCTCATGAAAACTCAATACTCTACGTGATTCACATCCCGCGCTAAACATTATCATGACAGTCTTTGCTATTTAAAAATCTGGCAACCTCAATCTTGACGCTTTGGCTCAGTTATAGCAAATTGCTAATAGTTTGAACAACACATGGTGGGAAATGAACATTGATCGATTGAGAAGATTGCTGAAACCGTTGTAGTGCGCGATTTGATTCACGTAGAGCTTTTAGTTTCTTGTGAGCGGGCAGTTCAAATTCCTTGTAACCATTGTGAAATAAAAATGTTAATAGCTTCGTTAGGAGTTGGTTTCAGTAATTTTCGTTGCGCGAATCGTGTTCTACGTGAAATTTTGGTTAAGATACATGTATCAGAATGCTTAAATTCGTACCTTGTCTAGTGGTCCATTTCCTGAATAAAATTACGACAAGATCGAGGATAATCCCTCAGATTTTGATGGTCTCAGCGATTCTATCGCCGAAAAATCGCAACTCAATTTCAAAATGTCGCGATTTTCCCGTTGAAAAATGTTTTTTGGGAACCAATCCGTTTCAACCAATGGGATCATTCCATTTGTCCTTTGTCTTCTTGTCTATCCATTTCAATAATCAGCCCAACTTTGAAGGAGGAAGTTCGAGCAACCCTCTTCCTCCTCGATGAGTGCAACGCGACGGACTATCGCTTAGTTTTGAAAAAAAAAAAAAAAAAAAAAAATTATCAAAACCTGTAATCTGATAGAATACACTTAGCGAATTGGAATCTCGAAATGGATTATATGTACCTGACGGGAAGCATGGAGCACGCAAGCAGTGGATCGCACACGCTTGGCTTGCATACTGGTTAATTCACCGAAAGTTCAATCGATGAGGTGGCCGTGGCAGTCATCATGCAACGCCTCTTTTCAGCAGTTTTTCCAGTGCTCGTCAACCAATTTTGCTCAGACCCGTGCACGGTAAAAGCTTTCGACGAAGCACGCATTCAGACGGAACCCAGCAAACAAAGAGCGGTCGACGGTGAAACAGCGAAAATGCGTATCTCGATTGCGAGGTTTCAAAATCTCCTCTCTTATTTTATTTTTCAAACGCAGGGTGTCTACTAAAATAGTCTACTAAAAAATCAGTACTTTTACAGTACTTTTTCAAAACATTCCCAAGAAATTCAGTACCTCCTCAACAGAAAAATTCAATACTTTTTCAGTGCCTCCATTTGGTAAAATTCGAAAATTTTCACAAATTTGAATTTCTCACTCTAACTGCGACAAAAATGACAACATAATGAAACAAATTCCGGACCTTCTTGCGGGATATCCGCACTTTTTCAGTACTTCCGGACCGCCCATGAAAATTCAGTATTATATTTCCGGACTTGTAGACACCCTGAAACGAAGACCGCGCCAACATCGTGGCTTGACATTTCGACAGAATATTCTTTACGTAGAGAAGAAAAAACACCCAAGCTATCAAGAAATGACGTCTAGAATTCTTCCACGTGGAAAATGAAGTACGAAAGGAAATCTGCAACGTCGCAAACCGAGATAAGCATTTCTGCAGTTTATCACGATCAATATGTACTGACTATACCGTACTGAGGAAAAACGCTGCATGAGCCTTCAGGCGTTGCCAGATTTCCTTTACTAACCAACAAATTTACTGGGAAAATTCTGAATACTTTTCTTCCAATTTTTCAGACAATTTTGTTCCCAATTTAATCTAAAAAATCGGAAAATTTCAAGGAAAAATACGCATAACTTTCTTCAAAAATTCATGTTTTATTCGGGGAAATTTGGCAACTCTTGAATGTTCATACGGTGTTCTTCCTTAGCACGACAGAATAGTGGCAAAGGAACATCGACAAGGCCAGCGTGGAGGCTACTTCAATATTAATCTTCCATCGCATTACTACGGCGCAGCGATACAACTATTCGTACCCTCCGGAATGCGTGAGGTATCACGCCACAATTGAAGGCGTTTTAGAAACTGCCAACTTTCCATATTGGGATTCTTGCGTCGTATATATGGTCACGGTTTCTACTATAACTAGCAGACAAATATTAAGTACTTTTACAACATTTTGTCAGTACTGTCCCAAAAAATTCAATACCTCATAAGCAGAAAAATTCAGTACTTTTTTGCTAAAAAACCATAACGACAGTGAGACTCCCAAACCATGCATCTCGGTTTGCGACGTTGGAGACTTCCTATCGTATTTTATTTTTTAAATAAAGAACAACTCTAGATCAATTCTGGAAACCTTCCGGGCTTTTCCTACTCTAAGCGGAGCAAATTCTGAAAAATACTTGATTTGAGTAACTGATTGACATTGAATGATGTTGATTTGTTCTTCATTAAAAATAAAAGAGGAAATGAGATACTGAAACAACGCAAACGAGAAAATCAGTGCCTCCTCCAACAGAAAAATTCCGTACTTTTTCAATGCCCCCATTTGACGAAATTAGAAAAATTTTAAATTGCGACAAAAATTTAAAAAAATTCCAGACCTTTATGCCGAATTTCCGCCCTTTTTCAGCACTTCTGGGCCACCCTTAAAAAATCAGTACTATTTCTGGACTTGTAGACACCCTGGGTACATCATAAACTTGTGGTGAATGGGCTGTTCCCGTTAGGTACAGGATTGTTTGAATCTTCAAGATACCTGATGCATTTTTTATTTCAGGTTTTGGGTGTTTTCCACCACAAATTGCATCTATTTTTTAGAATCACACTAAAGTGTATGGAAAATAAGCCCCCCCCCCCTTGCACCCTTTCTTGGGGAGAGTCCCTTCTCTTTGCCTTTTTCCCCTAGCCAATTCTTAGAAGACTTCTCAGTCTGACACAAACCCATTCCTTGGCACTCAGGGCTGCTCCTTCTTTCAGAGTCGACTAAGGGATAAAGAAAACCTCCCGATGCTGTCCCATTATCCAGCGAACATAAGACCATACAAGTTTGTCACCTAATTTAGACCTGAATGGACTCATAGTTGTTTTAATGCTTCAATAAAAAAACACAAGATAGGCAACAGGATATCGTCACCTTCCAGGCAAAGTATCACAAGCGCCATGCGACGTTTAAAAATTTTCGCCGCCATTTTATTTTTTTACTGAGAAATTGTTGGTTGAATCTGTTCGAAAATTTCACTAAATTTTATCAGCAGCACAAAGACAATTCGGTGTAATTTTCGGACAGCTTCGTTGAACAATTTCTCTGTAAAAAAATAAAATGGCAGCGGAAATTTTTAAACGTCGCATGGCGCTTGTGATACTTCGCCTGGAAGGTGACGATATGTGCCTATTAGAGATGACAGGATTTTGGATCGTCATCAAGGTTTGGAAAAGAAGGCAAAATTTGAGAAGGTTCAGCCTTTCCCAACACGGATCTAAGTGTTGACATTGCAATTTTCCAAGGATCCAGGAGTGCCATTAGGCCGAATTTTTCACGCGATTCGGGATTTTTTGCTCATTCTCTTCGAAAAAGTTTCCTCACTTTTCCAAATTTTTTGAAGTGCCAACCTTTTATTTGCTCTCAATTTTCGAAAATTTGCTCAAAACGTCACCTTAAGAGATCAATAAATGGTCAACTAGATCAATTTTCATGGCCTATGAAGTAAGTTTCTGCGGAGTATTCAATGTAGATCACAGAGACTTGGTGCTGTAAAACAGGTACAAAAATTCTATGTAATTAACACCTGAAACTACATAAAAAAAACTCACTTTACTTTGAAAAAGGTTTCAACCATGAAAGATTTATTTCTATAAATGGATTCCTTACCTTATTTTGATCAGTCCAATATAAGAAGAACCCATACTTGTCCACGCGTAAGGTGACCGGTATCCCTGAGCCACTATCCTGCAAAATTAGAAGAACCATGATTAGAACTGTTGTTATCACCTTGGGACACAAATGTTAGAATTAAGATTTACAGGAGTGTTTTCTCTACAGAGGTTGCTACAAATCAATTTAAGAGATCTCTTATAAAGGTATGTGATAGTGAGTACAGTTGCATTCTTTAAATACTGGCATAGATTTTCAGGATATGAACGCAAAAATTAAATGGTGGAGGAAGGGACATAGGTGTCTGTCTATTGGTGAGAAGGTGTAAAGGCTAAAATTTGCAAACTCCGACATGACATGGATGCGATTCCCTTGCAATATTCAAAAAAATTCACTTTCAATGCTGCTTACCATCAAGTCATTTTGTTTCATTCGGATAGTTCCGTTCAGTCCTCAGAAAACTTTGACTAGAATGACTCCAGACCAATGATCCTTATCTGTTACCCCTGTCAAAGAATGTATCAAAAAGGTGGAAAGATGCTTTCGCTACGCTACGCAAGTTGTTTTTTACTTGGAAGGATGTCCATCAACAGATGTCAAAACAGCAGGTATTGAATACTGTCTACGATTCCATATGCTATCAGGGAACTCCATGAACAAACTTTTGTCATGACAGATTACAGAATACATGCGAATGATGAGAATAAAAGAGTCGGAAAGAGTGAGGCAAAGATTTGACAGAGGTGACACCCAAAAATTTTGTAAACAATGAATTCTGTTGATCCACCTTTCATATAATGTGGAACAGATCTTTGAACTGTCTTAAACACAAAAGAAAAGCAATTCTGAATACATATTTAACACCTATCCTGGTGATCTGTGGAAGAACTAGGAGAAATAGTGAATAAATAAAGGTTCTTTACCTCATCCCACTTGATAAACTTATCACCCTCTTGAAGGGCCTCTGGGACCTCAACAGGTTTGAAAGAAACTGCATTCGTTACTTTGGATGCAGACATTTTGCGAGCTCACTGAGTGATTATCACATCGCACTACTTGAACAAAAAGCACTTCATTATTTTCACGAGCCAGGCACGGATGCGAAGGCGAAGGAAACTAGACCGAACTTGCTCGCGAAAGACCCAAAAAAATTTTAGGTTATCAATAAATACACCCTGGGCACCTCATCAACGCGAGCCCACCGTGCTCACACACCCATTTCGGAACGGTCGCGAGGAATGGAAAAAAAACACACCGATTTATTTTACAAAGCTGTGATACACATGAAAATGAAACAATAACAATTCGCGAGGTAAAAATCGCACGGAAAGGTAGGGACACCTCCACGGGATGGGTGGCATTGCATACTCAAATCTGGGTTCAGGCGAGCGGGCAGCTCGAGAATCGGAGAATGAACTACTGATAAGCGAGAGAATTCACTTGAGCCAATGATCTGAGCGGTTACGGGAGAGGAGAAATTCTCTCTCTCCCTCGGCTGCAACAGACGGGAGGGGGGAGGGGATCGGGACGCAGAAACGCAACGCATAGATGAGAGAGGACCTGAAACTGTGCTACGTGGGTACTGAAATGGTGACTGAAATGGGTGAAAGTACCCTTTGACGTCAAATCGGTACAGAGGGTGGAAGTTTCGGATATGTGTCTCTCCTAGTTCGTATTGTGGTCAGCAATACGAAATAGAAGAGAAAAATACGAAAAAGGCATGGGAATTACGCACAACAATAATTCCCCTTCAGTTTTTGAGGTAGGCCAGATAACATGCTTGGGCACCTTTTTGGGGCGCTGACCCGCTAGCACTGTAGATGGGATAGGCTCTTGAGGGATATTTAAATTTTAAAAAAGACATTAAATAAAAAAAAAAAAATAACTAAAAAGAACATCCGCCTTGAAGCAAAAGTTTTCTACACAGAAAAGTGTATCTTGTGTCGTGTGCAGTGCTTGCTTCGCAAAATGAATAATTCCATCTCCGTCCGTGACGCTCTTGAGGCTTTCTCTGGACTTCAGATCGTGATTAAAAATTCCGTAAATTGTTGCCTTGGCGCATAACACTTCGATATAGTCGACCGAAATAAACGTTTAGAATATAAACGTCGCACCTGTTACCCTTTCGCGAAAGCCGTGCGCAGATCTCAGATCTCGCCCGCAAAACCGAGCGTATGCAACCCGGCCCACCGCGGAGTTCAAATAGTTGCATGTTAGGTTCGAACCTAGCTTCGAATATTCTTCCACTGTTGTACGCTCCGCGCATTATTCAAATGCCGGGCTTATCTATCGGGAAGGCATTTTACTTGGTTTATATCGCGTTATTTTGCTTGTAAATTTTTTTTCTCTGGTGACTGAGGAACCCAGAGTAATTAACACGGGATATTCTCAAATGATTTCAAAACTTAAAATCGTGTTACTTATATAATTTTTTATATAAAGAGAGAGACTAGGTTAGTATGTACTTATTCCGCTTTTTTTGGATATCGTTGGTCAAAGTGTGACCACGTACCTCCTATTGCGACGTTGCAGACTTCCTGTCACGCTTCATAGTTTGTTTCCGAAACTAGTCGGTCGATGTAATCTCTTGAAAACCTACATTTTTCTTTTCTATTAATAATATTCGGAATTTTCAAGTGATGAAAATGACTTGTTTCTCCTGAAAGTACTGGAATGGGAACAGAAATCTTGAAACACCGCAATTGATATACGTGATTTTGCATTTCGGCCTTCGTCAAAACAATAATTTCTTATCGAAAAAAGTAGACAAATTGTTCAATCCTCTTCTTATTATCATATCAAATTGTGCTTTCAATTTTTTCGCAGAATTGCATTTCTTCAAACCTCCTCAATATTTATCACTTCTTACTTATCAGCATTCAGCAGACTTGCGGTAACACACATCTCAGCTACTAGGGGGTTCAGCCGCGGCGCAGCGACGAGGAGCCGGACTCATGTGATTTTCTTTATAGAAAAAGGAAAAACGATCCATGTAAATGAATGTTTATTTCCTAGACATGTCAAATATAGAGGTTCGAATCAAAGTTTTTCTTGAAAAGAGGCCAAAATAATTAAAAAATGTATTCCATGCAGTTTCTTAGATTATTATTATTTTAAATGAAAAGTATAGTTTCCAGGATTTTCCCGCATCTCCTGGCTACTCATGAAGGCTGCAGCATAAAGACGGTGTAAGCTGTCCGCGGACCATACTTCATTTTTTCAACGGAACACTACTCAACGGCAATTTTCTAAAACTGCCGTGATTGTTTCTTCCTGCGAAGAAAATTCTGCAAAAACTTCAAGGAATGATGTCAATTAGTTCTCCTTTCAGGGCCGGATTTACCTACTTGCCGCCCATGGGCCGCTAGTATTTTGCCGCCCCCTTCTCATCCGTTTCGAAACATCAATAAGAACCATTAAGTGAACGTGTCAGAGGGGGAGGGGTGCATAAGACGCGATTACTGGTGTTGAACACATTTTTTGAGAAAGCCCTGTCAACACTACTAGCAAAAGTTCACGGAACTTTGCGCGAAAGTTAAGTTTCGTAAACCTATCTCTGTGTGGACAAGGCCTTCCATTCATAAGAAGTGAACGAAACAATTATGAAAGAACAAACATAAATGTGGATTAATGATTTTAACTTCCGCCGCGCTGATCGCACTGTGTTTGCCGCAATGCGTGAGGTATTCATGCATTCTTGTAGGCGCTATCCGTTTCACGCTGTCCGCAATGACCGCACCGTGTTTGATGCAATGCGTGAAGTATTCGTGCATTCTTGTAGGCGCTAACATGTGTTACATGCCGATCGCCGCGGCGAGGGCTTCTCCTTTTCATCTCAAGTCCTCGTCATCATTTCTCTCTAGTTAAGTCGCGATGTTCCAGGCCAAATTCCGGTGTTCGGTTTCTCTCTTAACTCGGCTAATTAAAGGTGCTGCCTCTTGTATCACAGAAAGACGACAAAAGTAGAAATTACTATATACTCTCAGAAAATTAGAGATTTTGTCGCCTATTCCCGTTTGTAAATTTTTTTCTACATCCGAATTTTTTTTTACCTACATCTAAAAAAATTGCAAAATTTGCCGTCCCCTATAGATTTACCGCCATTGGCCGCGGCCCATGTGGCCACCCCCTTAATCCGGCCCTGCCTCCTTTAAAAAAAAATAATAGAGAGATGAATATTTTCAAACACCGCTAACGAGATACGTGGTTGCAGACTTACGCCCTTATAAGGGCGTAAGGGCTATAGCCCTTACGCCGTTGATGTACCTTTTCTTCGAACTAGGTAGACGTGTGCTCAGTCGCGCAGTCACGCCTTGTCTCCACGAGACGTTTCACGGGATTTTTACCAAGTTTGAATCGCAGGAATGAAACTTCTGGGATTTTTTCCCGTTAGAAATCACAACAAAATGTCTTTTTCTTCTTTTGAAGTCATTCCTGGGGCTCCACAAGGTCTCTTAGTTGGTACTGTGATTAGTATTGACTAACTTGATTTTTTCCCAACTTCGCAAGTGAGATTTTTCCCTGGGACAAACAGGGCCGGATTTACCTACTTGCCGCCCATGGGCCGCCTATATTTTGCCGCCCCCTTCTCATCCGTTTCGAAACATCAATAAGAACCATTAAGTGAACGTGTCAGAGGGGGAGGGGTGCATAAGACGCGTTTACTCGTTGAACACATTTTTTGCGAAAGCCCTGTCAACACTACTAGCAAAAGTTCACGAAACTTTGCGCGGAAGTTAAGTTCCGTAAACCTATCTCTGTGTGGACAAGGCCTTCCATTTACAATAGAGTCCCTTTATACCCAGAGTTAAGACAACTCACTTTTGGTTCGGCTGAAAGTGGCCTAAAAAAAAATCCAATTCTGATTGGTTCTCGCTCATGGAGGCCGAAACGAGTGCACCAAGATGGCGGTACCTCGAATGTGAACAAGAATAATGAAAATATCACCTAATTGTGGTTTATCAAGAGTAAATTGTTATTTCCATAGATCCAAAATGAAAATAGATTAAGAAATTATTCACAAACCAACCTCATTTTCTTTTTAATTGATCACTTTGTTGATGTTGTTGTTTTTGTATGACAGACATCGCAGGATTCCTGATCCTTATCCCCCAATATCGTTCGTTTGGGTGCACTCGTTTCGGCCTCCATGGCCAGCCAAGGCCGGCTGCCAGTCAGCTGATAATCGAGTTGTCTTAACTCTGGGTATAAAGGGACTCTAATTTACAAGTATTGAACGAAAAAATTATGAAAGAACAAACATAAGGTGGTTTACTAAATTTAACTTTCGCCGCGCTGACCGCACAGTATTTGGCGCAATGCGTGAAGTATTCATGCTGTCTTGTAGGCGCCGTGCGTTTCACGCCGACCGCTGCTGACCGCACAGTGTTTGATGCAATGCGTGAAGCATTCATGCAGTCTTGTAGGCGCTAATATGTGTTACACGCTGACCGCCGTGCCGAGGACTTCTCCTTTTCATCTCAAGTCCTCGTTATCATTTCTCTCTAAATCGCGCCGTTCCAGGTCAAATTGCGTGTTTGGTTTCTCTCTTAACTCGACTAATTAAAGGTGCTGCCTTTTGCGTCACCGAAAGACGTCAAAATTAGAAATGACTTTACTCTCAGGAAATGAGAAATTTTCCCGTGTTTTCTCGTCTGTAATTTTTTTTCTGAATCCGATTTTTTTTATAACTACATTTAAAAAACATTCAAAATTTTCCGCCCCCCTTTTGCCGCCATGGGCCGCGGCCCATGTGGCCACCCCCTAAATCCGGCCCTGGGGACAAATCCCATGAGACGTCCCGTGGTCCACGTCGTGGAAACAAGGGGGCAAGGCCTTAGGCCCTACGTCGATTCAAAATTCCCCTTCAATTACGACGCATAGGCAAATGCGGCACTGCATGGAGATCGTCCTGCGGCCTGCGCCTGCGGTTCTGATCACAGGGAGCGCTCCTATCATTACTAGTCTTCTGTCTTATTCTATGTGCTGCCATAACAGTCAAACCACAACAAAAAAACCAAGACGTGATAAGTGTGTCAATTGAATTATTCTCTTTTCTCTTATTTTTGTAGAATCTTTATTATTTCTGTTTATCATTTTCTTCATTGGAATGTATCATTCTTTTTGAATGCGTGCATTTAGCTCGGCCTTCATGACCTATCAACGTAAAAATTTCCTAAGTCAGTTGCTAATGTTGTTATCCTAAGCCTGCCCTGCAACCAAGGTAAGAAAGAGCCTAAAATTCAACCTCGTGAAAGTTTCACTAAATTTGATTCAGAAAATGGCAAACCTTTGCTTTGGACCTTGCTTTTGACCTTAAAAGCACCCCAGACAATTTTTATAGAACGTACCATGTAAGTCAAAGATGAAATTGATTTATCCATTCCTCCAAATCAAGGAATCTATCACGTATTTGATTTAGCTGGAGTCCAGCTTAATTATGCACTTCATTGGCAGCTGAAAGCAGTCCAGCGAGTTACTGTGGTGTTGAAGGTTTCAATTCTTTGGGGACTCTAGTGTCAATTCGTACAATTGAGCAAGATAGTGGACAGTAAGCCCCTTGAAGACGCTCGTCCTCAATGGACTTCCACCTGCAGTGCCTCAGGACGTCAGGAAGGGGCTGTGCAACTCACTTGTAGAACGCTTGTGTTGATCATGAAACTGATTACTGAATTAATGGCATTGTGAGCATAGATGGTAGTCTCTAAATGTCAGCCGAGTCATGGTGGGTGTCAGCAGAGATAGGGAAGGGGGGATATAGAGCTCTAAGGAGAGAGAGAAAACGACACAATGAAACAATGTACCTAGAAGTGGCCTGGAGAATCAGAAAAGTGGGATTTTACGCTCTTTTAATGTGGAACTAAGTGTCAACTGCCTGCGGTACCCATGAGCCGTGGGCATGTGAAAGAGCGTCGTGGACAGGGCTCATGAGTTTAAGACTCAAATCCGCGGATCCACCTCTGACAAGTCAAGTTTTTCAGTCAGTGCTGTCAGAGTGGCTCTTACATTTAGAAAATGAGTTCCTTCTTTGGGACTACTGAAAAGCGCATAACCCCAAGTAAATTACATGTGTTTAATTATGTCTGTTTGTTATAGATATCTGTCTCTCCTTTATTTTTCAGATTTATTTATCCAATGGAAGAACTTCACCATTCCAACCCATATGAGCAACAACTGTATGCATTGTTTAAAAGTTATGATCTAAATAAAAATGAGTGCCTTGACAAACGTGAACTAAATTCATTATGCGAAGCATTGGAATTGGATGAAGGAAGAACTGCTGCCTTATTTAAAGCCTTAACTCATGTAAACAAAGTTAGTTTTTCTGCCTTTAAAGAAGCCCTTCTCAAGATTTTGGATGGATCTTCTACAACCAGCGATTGGTCCACGGAAGATGATGTGAGCAGAGAGCCATCTCCAGGTTAGTAGGTTCTCATGAATTTTCCATCTGTAATTTTAAAAAACTCTATTCTGCTCTAAACGCCTTACCAAGCTTTACTCAGTTTCTTAAAAAGTTCAAAAATCTATACTATAAGCTCTGAGACCTCCTAATTTGTGTATCTGGTTATGCTTAGTTCCAGTGTTATACCAGGCTGATTTTCATTTTTTTTTTGCGTTTATTGGCAGGCAATTGTCTCTAGATGAGCCCACTTTATTTAGATTTTGAAAATACAACCCACGGTTTTTTATATTATGCGGTAAAGTTGCGAATTCTCCCATTTAAACAATGTAATTTTTTATTTTTTGTCATAGTTCGTTTGAGCGTTCTACTGGGCCGATTTCCATGAGTTTTGCGATTATTGACAGGTGAATGTCCCCAGATGATCCTGCTGGAATCATAATTGGAATATAGGACCCAGGTTTATTTTATACTAGAGGAGACTAGAAAGCTTAGAAAGGGGGGCAAAATTTGAAATTTCCGCCATTTATTAACAGCAGGAATTTCAAATTTTGTGGAAAACTGAAGTAAGCGGGAAATGTTGTATTTTGGACTGTTACACCGAAAAAAAAAGATGTGCTGTGATAACATCCTGGATGTCAAAAAAATGTGCAACAACTCTTTGATGTTTTAATTACCACTCTGGCTGTTAAAGTAACATCCTAGGATGTTACTTTTACATCCTATCATGCTACGTTAACTGCCAGAGTGTTAATAGCAACATCCAAGAGTTGTCGCACATTTTTTTAACAACCGTAACATTCGGGGTGGTACTACAGCATCTTTTTCTTCGGTATAGTAGGGTAAGTGAATAGAAGGTATGCTCCTTTGCTACAGACAATCCAAAAGCAACGAAACTCTCCGTTCTGTTTCATTTCAGTCTAAGCGTGAAGTTTGAAGTAAATGCAGACATTTTCATTTGATTCTTATTGGTCCAATTGCTCCCAATTAGAGGGAGATTGGATAAATGAGAGACGAGTATAATAATCTTTGCATTTTTTTTGGTCGTTCATTTGCATACGCGGGCCTAAGAGAGCGCGGAGCGCCCTCTGGGGGCTGGAGGTATAGCCCCCCAGTGATGTAATACTGAGCTCAAAATTTTTCTCAACCTTTTCTCAAATAAACCAATTTACTGTAGATTAACCTCTCTTTATTTATATTATTATTTATTCAAGCAACTTTTGTAATGCATGGTTTGGAAACTGCCAGCAAGGTAGCCATGAATACCAGTGTTGAACCTTTTTTTTTATCTCATTCATTCAGCAATCACTGAAGTTAATGTGCTAACAAATGCTTCGTTTTTGGTGCTAGATCGTGAAGTATCTCCAAAATTTGTTTTTGGGGAGAAAAAATATGGCCGCAGATCCAAACCAGAGAAAGGCGTGAAGTGTATTTCAGAAGAAATAATAGAAGATGACTTTAAAGACTGTGATGGATACAGGTCCTCAACTCCTCTTAGCAAAGAGATTGGTCCTACCTGTGTCCCCTCATCCAAGAGTTCCACCAGTCAACAACTAGGTATGTTTCAACTATAACTTTTCAACTTATTGAAAAATGAAAACTCTAAGTTGAACCTCAGTAGCTAACCCAATCCACCCGAAATTTGCTCAAATTTTTTCTGGAAAACAACTAGCAGAAATAAGCTTAACGTTATAAGCAGGATGAAGGTTAATCTTCATGAGAGCTGAGATATAACTGAAATGTTTTTATGGTGGCTTCAATGTAAAAAAATTCCTAGGAAGATAGGAATATGTCTGATGTCTTGGTCTACAATTTCTTTCCTTCGAGTGAATTTTATTCCAATTTCCTGTATTTCTGAATAAGAATCATTATTAATTAGGCACTTTTAAATGAAAAGAAACTATCCATTCTGGCGTGCTAAGGAAGAACGCTGTATGAACCTTCAGGCGTTGCCAAATTTCCTTTGATAAAACACGAATTTCCTGGTTAACTTATGAATATTATCCTTCCAATTTTTCAGATAATTTTGTTCGTAATTTCACCTTAAGTTTCTGAAAATTTCAAAAGAAAATATTCCTATCTTTACTCAAAAATAAACATTTTATCGAAGGAAATTTGGCAACTCACGAATGTTCATACAGCGTGTTCCTTAGCCTGGTAGCATTGTGACATGAGTCCTGTCAGGCATGTGGAATAATGGATCTCTGGACTCATGTCAGAATGGATATAATTCCTTTTTATTTAAAAACGTTCAGTTGGTTTTCATATCTATCGTTCTCTATTCTTAGAGATGCAAATTAATGCTAGCAGTGCTGTTCTGTTAAGAAAGAACGTCGTATGAGCTTTTAGAAGTCGCCATAGTTACTTCAATAAAAAACGAATGTACTGGGACAATTATGAATATATTTTTCAAATTTTTCAGTCAATTTTGTTCGCAATTCAGTCTATGATCTCTGAAAATTTCATTGAATAATATGCATCACTTTCCTCAAAAGCACTCGTTTTGTGCGGGGAAATTTGGCAACCATGAATGTTCACACATCTTTCTTTCTTAGTGTGGCAGAGTGGTTGTACAACTTTTACTCATTTAGAGTGCCCCATGCTTTCCCTCTAATGTCCAACGTTCTATCAGTGTCATTTCAGCCCCGTGCTAATATCTCAGGTTTTTAATTCAGTGTAACATTCAACTCTTCTAATGTAACTTGAATCTTTAGATCCAGAAATTCTAACTCAAACTGAAATAGCATTACGAACAGCATGGGAAAAACTGGGACTCTCCACAAATGGTTTCATGCAGCGGAATCAGTTCAGCTCTTTGTGTTGTGCACTAGGATTCAATTCGCTTTCGCCGCAAGTAAGCTCTTTCAATTTGTACTGTATTTTCAATGTGTGTCCATCCACAGGGATGGGCACTCTAGTGTCATACATTTAAAAAGTTTCATATTGGCACTATAACATATTGAATCATCCTCAAGCATTTTGGTGCAAAAATGTCAAATCACTCCAGAGTTGCTGGAAAATGTTTGCAATTTGGGAAATCTAGTTGAAGGAAAACTTAAATGTCATACTTAATCTCCCTTGTTAAAGGCCCATATCGTCATTTTCCAAATGCAAAATTATCTGCCTATCAACATGGCAAAATGTCCATGCATGACTATTATTTTTTCTAGGAATCTATTGGAAATTTTGAAAATTTTGAAAATTTCACCGTATTTTCTTCTAATTAGAAGCAGATTTTGTATGATTAGCTTATTGCTCTCATGACTGCAGTACTGTGAGAACATGAAATCAAGCGGTCTTTGTCACATATGCAAAATGCAGTCAGTGTAGTTTCCCAGCTTTTAAAATTTACTCAAGGTATAAATCGGTGTGTAACCAAAGTCATAGCTTGTAATTTCATAAACTGCTTCTCGAAATTCTTCGAGATTTCAAAACTAGAAATAATGCACAAGAGGAATGAAGGAAACCTGGGATAGGAAAATAAGCATCCTATTCGTACATCTACCATGTGTCCAGGCAGATTCCAAACCAAGATTGATAAACCTAGTCTATTCTTGTGAATTTCGTACAGAGGTTGAGAATACCCATTGAGCAGAGTCACCTTATTTTTGTTTCGTTTAACAGGAAGTGGAAGATCTATTCCGAAAGCTGGATACAGACAGAGACAATCAAATCAGCTTCAAAGAACTTTTAAAATTGCTGAGGAACAGTGATTTACTCTCCTCGGAACCTGTGATGGCACCTTCTCCGGATGTGTCTGCCCAAGAATTTCAGAACACAACAGAATTCTCTGGTGTTGACTTGACTTCTCCTGGGTAAGAGAGTTTTTCAACAAAATGTGTTTTATCTCCAAATCTTTTTTATCAACCTTTTGTAGAGGGATTGAGTCAACTGAGCAGTTGTTCTTAGTTTGTGTTGTTATCTCTTGTTATCTGTTGCATGTTATCTTTGTACAATGCTGAAGAATATCTTTGTGGGAACGGCGGAAAAGTCAATAAAGATCAAATAAGCAGGAAGAGAAAGTCTCTTCAGAAACAACTTTCTTTTTAATGAAAGAGGAGGAAATTTGAAAAAAAAAAAACTAATTTGTATGGATTTTTCTTCAAAAAATGTAGGAAAAGTGTAGGAATGTATAAACAATTTATTGTTCATTGATTCCAATGAATAAATAAATAAAAAGAACTGATGCACTTTATAAGGAAAAACAAATTATTAAGATATCACAACTCTTTGAATTGTTTAACTTCACTAATCTATCTGAATTAATTCAATGTTTCAATGTAGGGTTGTCAGCATTGACACATTATCGGAGCTATGGGAAACAGCTGGCTTATCAAACCCAGCCTCTCTTCTTCATGACCTTGGACTGTCACACAAAAGTGAAGTGAACATCTCCCACGTATCCTCAATGCTGGACAAGGAACTTGCCAACTTCCAACGGTGCGAAAACGGCAGCACCGAAAGTTTGCAAGTCACGCTTCTCATGGCATCTTTAGCTATTTCACAGTTTCAAATCAAGATGTATCGGTAAGAGACGCCCATATTTGCTCGTATTTGAATTTAAACAGGATGCATTGAACAAGTAGAAACCACAAGTGTAAGATTTTCTGATGTACCATTCCTACTTGTTTAGGAAAGTCCTATTTACTGGCTTAATTGCGAATTACTCTTTAATATGTGCAGACACAAAATCACTTGCAACTCACTGTTTAGAAGTTAAGTGAATGTTTTCTGTCTATTTCGCAATCATGTTAACCCAACTTAAACTCGTTGCGCAGCGAATTCTTCCTCCGCAAACTAAGGTCCCCATTTCAATGCACAATCGCATATTTAGTCTGAAACGAAAATTACAAACCTGGAAGTATAGTCACAGTGCTTGTGCTCCAAGCAGCTGATTTCATCACTAGGGATTTTCTATCCAGAATAATGAATCTGTTATGTCAGCATACATCCTTGAAGTCCCACATTTCTCGGAAAACATAGTAGAATTTTATTAGGCATAATTTAAATAACATCGAATTTCTTCTTTTCAGATGTTGTTTAGACCAAATGGAACATTCTCAAGACAAACTCTATGCAGATCTGAATGCTGCCAATGAAAGAGCCACCTTACTAGCACAAGAAGTGGATGACCATCATGCTAGAATGGAAAAAGCAACGCAGCAGCAAATCAAGTAAATCCACCAATTTCAACCTTAACATTACACTAATTTACCTTGTCCTCTTTACTTTTCCTATGTACTCACATTCAACGGTTTTAGTCCTTACTCCTACCAAATTTTCACACTAAGTCAGAAGGTCACAATGGTGTGCGTTGGAGTCCCTTTGTACTGAGAGTTAAGACAGTGTGAATCCATTTTTGATTGGTTACCGTATTTTAGGCCTCCAGTATCACAAATGGAAATAAAGATAAAATGTTCACCAATTGCAAAGATTACAATGTGGAATGGACCGAGGAATTACGGGTTCAACAAGGAACCAAACGGAATGAAAGAAGGAACGGAGAAAGGAATTCCAGAATGATCAAAGATTACAAAAAACGTTAAATTTGTGTAATCTTTATTCCCATTTGTGACTCCATGAGGGGGTGTTGTCTTAACTCTCAGTATAAAAGGACTCTAGTGTGTTTTGAGCCTTAAAATCTAATCAATCAGGGTGCTCCACCGTTTTTCCTCATTTTCGGTTTAAAAACCAAAAGAATTCTGAAAATTACCTCCTGTGGTCACGAATTTCCTCAGGTCATGAGCGCCTCACAATGATAACATTTATTCATAGATACCTACTATATATGATGTATCTAATACGTATTTTTGTATCTTATCAGGTTGTTAGAACAAAAACATGCCGAGCAAATGAAGCAATTGAGCTTACAGCTTCTAAATGAACGAGAACAGCTACGAGAACAAAGCTCGCAGCTAGAGGCAAAGTTGGAAAAATCTCGAGCAGAAGAAACTAAATTGAAATCAGATCTATCATCCCTTCAGAATGTAAGTACTTAAAATAACATTATTTTTTTATTTTTTTTGGTGTGTAAGTTTTCTGTTTCGATTTGGCTACGAATCGGTTTGAGCCATGTTGAAGAACTCAAATTGCCTCTTTTCATAGCACCAAGCTCTCTTCAGTGTACAACAAAGCTACTAGAAGGTGTTTGTCAAAAGCTTTATTATTATCTCCTTAAGACTTACTGTTAAATTCATTTTTCCATCATGTGTTTCACTTTTTTTAACATCAAGATGATTACTTACCCTGAGTGGTCATGTGCCTATTCTGTGCATAAAAAATAAAATAATTGTGGGAAAAAAGTACACCAAGTCAGTCGCAAAGGCCCAAACTTTCCAACTCCCTATGACTACATGATTTGCCGATTACTTTATTTCTTATCCGGATGTGTAAAGATTATGATGTTTTTTAAACACCATACTCTTTGAAAAGTAGTCCCCTCGTCTTATTCTGGGGACAGTTGCACTAAAAATAAATTTCTGAGTTTCCCTCCTCTTCTCTTCTTTCTTTCTTTCTTCTTCTTTTTTTTTTTTTGTTTTGTTTTGTGTTTTTGTCGAATGAACATGTTGTAATCCCTCAATTACACATACCTCAGTAGCGACTTGCATGGTGCCTTCATGGCGTGGAGAGATGAAGAATCATTCGGCACCTATCTATAGATCTTCTCATAAAAGGGATGGCTGTGCTTCATTTGCTCGCCCAAAAATTTCTAGAACATGCCTAACAGAATGCTTTTCAGCGCAAATTTTCCTGAAATTTACTCATGAAAAATATATTCAGAACGCTTATTGGAATGGAAAGTTCCTTGAAACATCATATAATAGAATTATTAGACTCATTGGGTGTGAAATTTTTATTCTTTTTTGTACATTTATTTAATCAAGTTTTTTGTCATATCTCCTCTTACTCTCATGTCGCCCAATTCGTATTTAACCCATCGTTTTTCATTTTATTACTGTCTTATCATATCCTACTAATCTTTCTACTTTTTAGGAGTACAACCAAGTTGAGAGGGAAAATCAATGTCTTAAAGCCAGTGTCGAGGAGAAAGAAAAATTCATCAGCCAAGTTGATATTCAAGCAAGAGAAATAATAACATTACATGAGCGGGTAAGTACTTATGTAGGCAACGCATTATCTTGTATATCTTGTATAATCTTATATTTTCTAAATAGACTTGTTGTCAATCTTTTCTATGCTTGCAACGTTGAAAGCGAAACAACTCTCTCCACCCCTAAACTCATATTGATAGGTCCTCGAAGGTATATAATATTTTCTTTCTATTCCAATTCATTATAATTTTATGTCCGAGTAAAATATTGGCACTTATATTTAATTGTTCAACGAAAATCCGAATGTTTATTTGCCCAAATCTTTTTAGTCTGCTATTTGACTCAGCAGACTTTGGTTTTTTATTGAGCAGGAACTTTTAATTTTAGACATGGCGAACTTCAATTCCTTCGATATTTTTGTGTTGAATTTGAAAATTTTCAATGAGCATGCCATAATCTGGTGAAACACTCAACAAAACGCATACTCGCATATTTTGTTGCTTGATCGGCCACCTCAGAATCACCAAAGGATTTTTCATGTCATCAGAGGTATCATAATTGATCTCTGACAATTGTATTGACTGTTGGTGTTGTCACAACTGAGGCACTCCAACTTTTTCATTTTCTTTCAAAAGTGCAAGCTTTCTTTAATATTTTGTTTTTGCTATTTTACTTTAAGGTTCATGAGCTGGAGGAATCAAATCAACAGGTGGCGCTGCTTATAGAAAAATTGAACCAATTACAAACAGAAAATGCTTCATTGAGAGATCAAAACGATGAATTAACTGTTGAAATTGAATCTACAAATCGCAGGTATCATAGTGCTTCGAGTATGAAACAGTTCTTCCCTTGAAATCCTACTCTGAAATGAATTCCCTCATTAATGGGTTTTTGTTGTGGTTTTTTTTTTTTTTTTTTTTTTTTTTTTTTTTTTTTTCAAAGTATTTGTCCCATAGGACTGTCTGTACAGAAATTCAGCAGAACTTAATTTACTCTGAAAAATACTTTGTAGTTCTTGAAAGGAAACAGTTCTTTAAAGAAGTTCGTGACTTTAGTGAGATCCCTAATGACTTTTGCAAACAAGCTGTGGTTGCCTTCCATGTAAAATTTTATCAGCTGGTTATTTTTTGTTTCTTTGTCTCTCGATCTATATAAGAACATCACACATATCTTGCTGAGGAATAGAACGCATCAGTACTTATAAAGATCGTAGGTATTATTTAACTCTCATGCAAAAGATCAGGCATCCGATTCTGTACCTTTAACATTTCTGTCTTATTTTTTAAATTTCATCATTAATTCTTGTATCTTTTTAACTCAATAAACAGACAACTCCTCGGCAACAAAAGACGTGGGAATAGTTCACCGTACCAACCTAAAGAGGATGGGGATAGCCCGCGTTTGGGTAAAGTTCGCCGTTACTCAACTCAAAACGATTTATCACTGGAAACGTCTCAGATGCAAGGTAATTCAATCTTATTTTCCTACGCTCATCAGATTCCTTCTACAGGATTATTCTGATAGGAAGCTTTTTAATATACCGTAGTGTCTGATTCAGGGATACTGAAAATCCTTGCCGTTCACTTTTTCACATACTTGCGGCAAGGACCTTTCACATGTTTCCTCATCACTTTAATTTTGTCTCACCTCTTGCAAAAATACAGAACTTTTTTGTAAACTACAGCATCTAGGTTCCGTGCATCAGTGTTGCACATTATTACACAGCATGCAAGAAATTTACCTAGGATAATGTTTGTCTCTCCATCTGCTAAATCTCTTATTCTCATTTTCTTTGACATGAGCGGCTGCGTGATCAGGTGTACTCTGCTCTTATGGTTTAATCATACGAGGATGTCGTATTTATTCAGACACGTTACCTAACAAAACTAACTCGGAATTAATTTATCTTTCATGAAACATTCGACATTAAGAGCCACCTCGATCAGTTTTAACAGGAGTGGCCTCTACGATTAGACTATTAAAGTTCAGTGAAACTTGCCCGTATCAGAATGCGTCTAGACTGTTTCTGAATTTTCCCGTACAAGCTGTGTCCATTACAAGCGGTTTTCACTGTCTCTGCCTGAATTTGCAAAAATATTCTGTTTTGCACCAGCCAAATGTTTATTTTTTATTATGCATGTGTAATACATTCACCCATAATATACTCTCAGTCCTCTTCATAAGCGCATGTCTCATGCATTTTGTCTACTAAATCTTTGTCCGCTATGTATTTATCTTTTTAATCATGTTATGTTTGCTTTAACAGAGCTTGCCATACAACCTGTTTGCATCGGAGGAAGTCTACAAGTAGAATGTGATGACTCTGTTATTTTTAATAGTTCTTGTGAGGTAATATTTATATTTAATGCTCAATTTGTTTAATAGCGTAATATCCTGTCCTCACCCTTCCGAACACCACATCCACATCAGTTGACAAAATCAGTTAGAGACCCTTGTTTAGATTACTAATGATAGTGTGCAGAACTAGAAGAAGACTAGAAGTAGACTAGAATAAAGACTAGAAGTTTCAAGATTGACCATAGTTTGAATGGTTATCTTCACTAAAGCCTAATTTTGCCCAAATGTAGGTGCAAACCTTCCTTTATTAAAGTTGAATTGATCACTCTCAAAACGAGTAAAGTTAATCACCTGTGACATTTTTTTACTTATTTACTGGTGATCTTGGGGGGAGACAAGTATGATGAAAATCTGGGCAATTATGTACTGCAAATAGTATGAGAATATTCTTGAAATGAAATTCTTAGCAATTGCATCTCTCTGTTCTCAACTAATCGAATAAAATATTTTAGACCATGAGATGTCAACTATTCTATTTTGAATGAAGTGAAGAAACGTCAGGAATAGCAGCATTTAGTCCCCTTCGAAATAAATATTTACAAAATATCAAATGACTTTCAATTCCATAATTGTTTTTCACTATGTCACCAGACATCAGAAGTTGCAAATTCTTTCAATAATAGGGTTTGAAGTATATGAAGTTTCCTTAAGTAGGTCGACATAGTGAAATGCCTATCTTTCTTTCCGTAATTTCTTTTTTATGATTCAGTGCCTAAAGCCTACGAGTGGTATGTAAATTTGTATGAGGAACTACCAAAATTATTGAGAATTTATGCATGCGCACTTGTTGCCTCGCCTGCAATACTTTGATGTCAATGGTAAACTGCAGAAATGTGTATCTTGTTTTTCGGCACTGTGGATGTCCTGTTGTACTTTATTTTCCACATCAAAAACTACTCAACGTAATTTCTTGAAAACTTCTGTGATTTATCTTCTCTCATGATAAATATTCTGTGAAAATTTCCAACTCTTGATGTTGGTTCTGTCTCTTTTTAATGTATAAAGTACGAACGGAGATTTCGAAACACCTCAACCAAGATACGCTTTTTGCAGTTTCCTTGTAGACCTGCCTCTTGTGGTCGAAAATTTTTACTCTAACCGGGATTTTAAATTTTAATAAAGAGATTGTTAGCAAGCATTATCTATTATTCTATTAATATCATTTTAATCATTCTAATTTGTTAGTCTGTAAAAAGATCAGTGAAAACCAGCAGCATTATTGATCCTATTACCATTTTTTCTCTCACTTTATCTAATTTTGAAAATTTATTGACACAGGTGGATAGTGTTGAAAATAACAAGAGTAGTTCTGATGATGAAGGCAGTGCTGCTAGTACAAATAAATCTCTCCGGATGTCTGCCATTGTTGAAGAAAATGAAATGTTGCGCTCTCAGCTGAAGGAAATGAGAGCGACGCTAGAGGATTGTCGTTTGAAACTTTCGGTGAGTTTTGTTTCACTATTTAGCGCTCATATTTATGCTTTAAATTACTCCTAATATCGTTTCAAGATGTTTTCAGCTTTTTATTTCCCTGCTTAATTTAAGTCAGCGGTCCTCAAAAATTTCCACTTATTATTTTATTGACTTTCAATCAAGCCTATTGATTCTCCAGCACTGTTAGAAAGTTTATCCACTCAGAACTCTCTTCTTCTTCCTCTAAACACATCTGTTGCCTCAGAAGTCACTGTTGACCACCATTGAAGTGTCGCTGGCACTCGGTATAATTCAAATTTGCCCTCTTTTAGCTATTTGTTCATGGCGGTCACTCCTCCAACCTTTTGTGGAGTTACCAATTTAAAATATTAAATTATTTGATTCTCTGTCAACAAAATAGACAACGTTGACCCAGAACATACTTAACTGTATCTGGTTTAGGATGTTCATTTATAATGGAGTTTAGTTGAGAAAAAAAAGGTTTGATATTTCGGAAGAATTACCACTGACCCTGGTGCTATTCTGCGAAAACATGATAGCAGTAAAGGTGTTTTGTGCAATTGGACTAAATTTTGCAATTAGAAATCACAATTTTTGGCTCAACTTGGAAACAATACATAAGCCATTCTTTTCCCTATGCAGATAGGTGTTTTTACTTATGAGCCAGAAATTTTAGTTCCTCATTGCAAAATGCTTTCCCTACTTGAGAGTCTTCCTTCTGCCCTTGCTTTAATGATGGAACTATGCATGTAATGGTGGAGGCTTATCTCTTTCTTTTACGCCTGCATGCCTGTATTTCTAGTGGTATCAATGTTTCTCTATGTTTACTCACTCAATCATACATGACGCATTTTGTTTGAGCCATATCCCATACGTCGTTACTTTGTTAACAATTAATCTTGCTTTCATTGCGACTTTTGAACTTTCTACTAATTTGATCATTTTGCAGTGGTCAACAAAAGAGGTTAAATCTTTGATAACAGATCACACTTCGGTGTCTTGTCCTTAGCTTTGGCTACATATCCTGAGACTGTAGTTCACGGTGTCTTTTTGGGCTAAGTTTCTTACTTTAATTTGTAGACTTTTTTAATGTAAAGAGACGAATCTCCACGAGTGGATCCAGTTAAGTTTTTGACTTACCGCCATCCTCCTTTACAATAAAACAAAATTCCCTCTCGGCAACAGTGCGCCTGCAACATTTGATTTTCATGTTGGCAGTAATGACAACCGTATCCAAAACAGATGGATGCAAACGTTGACCGCACGTCATCAAACTGCTGAGTTTAGTTCATGATTTCTGGCAAGTGTTTTTCTGTGCCAGGTGGCAATTTTGTGAAATTTAGTTCAAAAGTGAAGCAAATCCACTCGCGGAAATTTGCCTAAAGGTTTCAGTAATATCTGTAAAACAAATTATCAAACAACATGTCAAGATTTTTTTTGTTTTCTATCTTCTATTAAAAGAAAAAGATGAAAATAATGGAAGGAAGGAAATCAGGTCTCCTCAATTGATTATTAATTCGAAGTATAAATATGTGTAATTTTTGAATGTGATCAAGAAAATTATTAATTCAATATGTTTAAGGAAATGTTATCGCAATTGTACTTATTATTCAGCATTTCATCCGCTCTTTTCACATCTGCATTATTTTTACTTCTTGCGGAAGAATTTTTATTCATACAATCCTCAGCAATGTCGCTTCTATTCATGCAGCCTGGAAGAGAACATCACACAATTCTTGATCTCTTGTGAAGATTACAATGCACATTAATATTTCAAATTCGCTTAGTTACATCTTTTACAATATCATCCCAATTTTGAAGAAAAAACATATTTCATCCTCTACATTCCTATTTTTTTCTGTAATGTCAAATTATCATGCTGTAGGTTGTGTTTTTTTGCCTCTAATAAAAATTTTAACAATTGCAGAGAGAATATTCGATTCAAAATATCCCTCTCGAAGGACCAGATATCAATTCGTCATGTAAAGTCGTCAGTAACATTTGGGCAGAAAATAAATATTTGAAAAATCAGCTGGAAGAAATCAAAAGTACCCTTACCGAATGTCAAACTAAACTTGCGGTAAATTCTTGTGGTCAATCACCTTTCCAATAATGTCCATAATTTTAACGCTTTTTCTAGTGTGTTGAAGTAGACTCAGAATATTGCTAAATGCATGCAAGCTTTTCCTCCTGTATGTTATCTCACCACAATCTTGGTGCCATGTATCATCAGCCGTTTGCAAGTAAGAGTTGATATTGGTAGAAATTATCTTTTAAAATTCTATCAAACATTATATAAGTTGTAGAGCTGGCATTAGGTAAGTTACTAATTGTTTGCCTTTAACTAGTCTCCATAGTCAACCATCTTAGATGTTTCGCATAAAACCTCATCATCATCTTTGTTATTACTTTTCATCACTGAAGTGTTTAAAAATATTTATTGCCTCCATTGTTATTTTCGAAATCAGAAAAACGTAGGAAATTACCTGTAATTTATCGCATATAAGGGCTTTTTTGAGTTTTCTGCTATTCGAAGCGGCCCAGCTTGAGGCTAGGATTGCACATAACCGCTTGACAACCACTCGGGAAAGCAATCCAAGCTTCCTACTGGAACGTAAGGATCTAGCTGAACTGCAGCAGTGGACAAGGATAAAAAAATAACGCGGTTCATTGCAATTTTCTGTGGTTTAGATGAAAAAAAAAACCCACATATCGTACATTGTATCGTGCGTTTCTGAACATATACTCAACTTTTTGCTGAAATGGGCCTGTTGCGAATCTTTGCTAGAGCAAAAATAAAAGTAGTCTCTATCAGTAAATGTCTCAAAAATCATGATGAGCACATTGGCAAACTTTGAAATGCACTCCTTACTTCACAATTTGTGTAAGAAATTTGCGTTTTTTGAGCTTCCTGCTTCAAAAACGATACTACAGCACAGGTGATCATTTCGTTAGTGGTGTCGTTCTATCCAACCCTTGTGCACTAGGATACTACACAATGTTCAACATGGCCGACACCAATTCGCCAAAACACATGACATGTATGTGCGAGAGATTCTAACAATTTGTTAATAAACCAGCGTGTTTACATTCACTATTTCTTCGCGTTGATAAAGATTTGCTTTGTTTGACCTTGTACTCCTGATTGCGATTAGCGCGCGGAAGTGTCGGCAATGTTGGGTATTGCTATTGCGAAATAATTGAATGGAACGACTCCTCCAATGAAATGTTAATCTGTGCCTTAGTATTGTTTTTGAAGTGGGAAGCTAAAAAAACGCTAATTTCTTACGCAAATTGTGAAGTAAGGAGTGCATGTTAAACTTTGCCAATGCACTCATTGTGATTTTTGAGACATTTACTGATAGAAACTTTTGCTCTAGCATAAGTTTGCAACAGGCCCATTTAGCAGTCTTTCAGTGTAACCAGTCGTCAGAAGTTATGATGATGTTTTGATGTGAGCAATAATGACCCTATTAGTAGTGTCGTCGTCTGCAAACCGAAAGTAAACAGAAGCCAACTTCCCTAATGCCAGTTCCACTTTTTTATGGAACAACATTTGAAAATAATTTGTTGTTCACATCTTAAATATTTACTCTTTTTGATGATTAATGCACGTTAAGCCTGTCTATTACTCAGGTAGTCAAGTAATTAAGTTAGTGACAAACATTCCAGAGCAAAAATTTTACTGAGTAAAGTCTATCTTAATATTTAAGAAAGAAATTATGATTGAATATAGAAGAAAATTAGATGTAACCAATTTACATTTGCAAGAAATTTCCTCAAGCAAGTGCATAAATTGAAAATGAAAGTTACAGAACTTGTATCTTAATTTGGGGAGTTGCGAATTTCTTCTAACATTTTATTTTCTCCATGGAAAACAATGCAATACCTCTCGGATTTTTTTCTGAATTTTCTTTATCATGTGCAAAATATTCTGTGTTAGTCTAGGTAAATGAAGTTTGCTGATTTTTCTTTCATAATTCAAACAATAGCAAAGGTATTAAAATATCGCAATTGAGATTCACTATCACTATTCATTATTTCATCATCCAAACAAAATGTCTTTATGCAAAGACTCCTAAAATTTATCCTATGGTTCAAGTTAAAACCTAATGAATTTTTATAATTTTTGCCATGTGCAATTGGCCCATCTAATTTGAACCTATGCAGAAACTAATTTTCTTTTCTTTGCCATAATTTTAATTTCTATCAAAGAACTACATAATGATGTATATATTTTTTTGTGTTGTTGACCTTTTTTTACATTACAACTTCTTTTTTACTTTTCATATTGAGTTTAGTTTGAAATGAGTTTTTTTTTTTTTTTTTTTTTTTTTTTTTTTTTTTTTCTATTTGGAATCAGATTTGTTTAATTCAACCCTAATTTTATGTTTCCTGGTTTTTGTCTAGTCAAAACCCTTAAATTCTTATATTGCACTCTAAATGATCGAAATTTTTACATTGAAAAAGTTAAAAAAATTTAAGAAAATAATTGCAAGTTGTATCTTACAACAAGGGGCATCTATAAAGGATCATATTTGAATATTAGCTAATATAGTTAATGAAGATTATTGAAATTAGTAAAAAATTTCTCATCCCTTATTCTTTCAGCTTTCCAAAAAGCTATCGTAAGTTAAACTAGGTCCACTGGCTCGTGAGTGACATGTGGCGACAAGAGATGGGTGCGCAGAAAGTGATGTCACTTGCAAACTAGTGGACCAAATTTTATGAAACAGGGGCATTTTGAAAAGCTGAGGGTATGACAAATGAGACATTTTTAACTGATTTCAATCATATTCATTACTTACTAATATGAAAAGTATAAAATACTTGTTAATATAACTATATATTTACATTACAAACCCCCCCCCCCCCCCCCCCCCCCCCCCCCCNATACTTACAAATAAATTTTATTTCATCACACATCGGTTTTTCTCAATACCGGTGGTTTGTCATCTTTGAGCATTTGTAGTTTGTACTCTTAGTTAATTTTTGAGCTGTAACTTGCCTCTGTAATTTTTAATTTTTGTAGGTTTAATTTGGTATGAACTTGTATTTTTTCCTCCTTATTATTTCATATTTATTGAATTGACCTCACTGCAGCCTCATATCACCAGTAGATATTGCTCTGCTAACATTACTTAACTATTACGCAGTGTTACAAACTGTGGAGATTCTCCTTTCTTTTAAAATGTAAACCTCGCATCTTTTATTTTTTAAATTTTACGTAATATTTTCTCATCTGAAAAATGTTTTCATGTAATATTTCCAACTTAAAGAGTTCCTAGTTTCCTGCCGGAATGAGGTTTTTTGAAAAAATTCCGTTTTGGAGCCAAAGTAAGTTCATCAATTAGTGGTGCAAAGAATCTGGAAGCAGGGACTCAACATTAATTCAGAAGCCCCTTTAAGAAACTTCTTAAGTGGTCAGGATTGTTGTTATTGTTTTTTCTTCTTTTTTTTATTCCCAAGCATTTTTCAAATCTGTGGGAATTTTCTTTGAGTTTTGTTTATTTATTTATTTTTTTTTTTCAATTGTGTTGCTTGAAAAACATCCTTTTCTTTATAACATAGTACCTCCTAAGAAAAAAAAAAAAACACTGGTGTAATTTTTCGATCAAATTCATAAATGTTTATTTTTTAAAAATCTGAATAACTTTTCTCGTGAAGCATCAGCAAGGTATGAGGTTTCACTCTTTTTTTTAGCAGATACTGATGAATTTCCTGGAAAGAACCAAGTCACACGACATTACTATTGAGACATAGAGGCTCGAAGTTTTTAGGAATGGAGTTTGAGTCTATATTTGGAATATGTACCACAAATGGACTTCATTTTGCAATGTGGAACTACAATTTTTGATTCAATTTAGAAATTATATAGGCACCACTAGTTTCCCTATGGACATGAGTGTCCTTACCGATGGACTAGAATTTTTAGTTCCTGATTGCAAAATGTAGTCCGATTTCCTCTCAAGTTTTACTTTTTTAACAGACAACTGAATCCTCTTAATGCCTTTAAACTTTCTGTAGATTTACCTTAAATTTTGAAGAATTTACTCACAAAATCTCAAGTTTCAGGGTTGCTTAGTCTTCTGTTTAAAAAGTAAAACATCAGAAAAAATTAAGGAATGTCTAACATCGATTCTGGTCAAATTCGTCCAAATTCTTCTTTTCCGTCCAACTATGTTCCACTCCATCCTAATAATAATGTCTTAAGAAAATACCTCTTAAAATTAATTCTCCATCAAATTTTAATTGTTTCCTTCCGTTCTGTTTTACTTTTTGAACTCTCGATTTATGACTTGCAAGTTAGCATTTTTGAGAAGTGCAAAATTAAACTTAGGGTCATGACTAGTTTACACACAAGATGAACGAAAAAGTACTGTCTCCATTAAAGCTCTTTGTATGTCTTCAAAGTTCAAACTGACAAAAAGGATGTTCAGGTACCATCAATTTTGTGAATCCTCATCCCACAAAACTGGAAGGTTTGAATTTTTGATGTTAATGAATCTTGGAGATCGATTACAATTTTTTTCCAGCTTGCATCATGCGGTCTTCGAGTTCCTAACCGTGGAATGTGTAGATTTGAACTCTTTTATTATGTGTCACTCAGCATTACAGCAGGAACAATGCCAATCAGCAATTGGTCAATAAGGGAGTCTTTTATTTGTAAATAAAACAACATAAAGACTACTCTTCCATGTCTTGATGAGGCATGGCTAGGTAAACAAAGACATACCTCATTGACCAGTGGCTGACTCACATTCTACTGATGTTACACCAACTAACACTTAGTCAATGAGCTCAAAAGTGTCATCTTTGCAATTAATGTCTCAAAAACGGCATCACAAACAGAGGATAAACAATTTTCATCGATCTCGAAAATGTTTCATTAATGACAATGTGAAAATTCAAGTGAGTGACAAATAGTGCATTGTCTTTGACTGATCACAATCTTGAATTTAAGTAAAGTGGAATTATACCATTTGATACAATCTAATCTCATTCGTCCTCAAAAATGTATTATTTTGAGATAGATTGCACTTTGAATGCATGTAAACAAAAGTAATCTACCTAAATATG